TTCTAGCTGTGATAGGAGCTGCCGTTTGCGGATGTTAGAACACTGAGTTAGTAGTTGTTTCTTTGTCAATGATGACAATGGTTGTTGGAGCTGCCATAATTCCCATAGTCTCTGAATGTAACCTCTCTCACTGGGGACGCTTGTATAGTAGCATTTCATCAGTACCAAGTTTTCTGCTCTAGTCCATCTATGTCTTGCTCCAGTAGCCAATTTGTCATCAAGTTGCCCTGGTTCCCTAGCAACTGACACGGACCTTGTTAACCCGGGCGACGTCCGAGCCGGTATGGCTCTTGTATTTGCGGTTTCACTCATGCCTGAGGTAGGCCACTAAGCACAAAGGACCTTGCCTAAGGGTCCACCTGGATGTCCATGCCGGGAATCGAACCCCGGTCACCTGTGCCGGAGTCGTCGGTGTTACCTACCGAGCAGTAGACTTCTAACAGTACCATTGGATAAAATTAATCAAATTAAAACCCAAAATGAAAACCTATGATGTCGTTGGACTTAAGGGAGAACTCAGAACCAGTTTTCTTACATGCAGGAGGTGAAGAAGGCCACATCATCATCATTGCTGCTTTAAAGATTCACAAAATCTTTCCTTTGTTTACTCATACATAAGCTACACTTTTTTAGACTGATCAAATTGGGGCTGGACTATTCGTTTTTTCCTATACCGTAGATGAATGTTGGTGTTTTTTCATGGACTTACAGGCAGCAAATTACCATAGGTCATCAATGATGCTGAGGAATGTTATTGTCTTCAGTTGCCATGGCAACACATCATTTTTTACTTTAAACCATAAATAGAAGAAAATAAAGGACGAGCAGATGAATCCTCTATTTCTGAACAGAGCTGAAACATGGAATGTGTGTGGTCACAGTTTGGACTTCAGCCTGTTGATCAGAGGGGATGGATCAAGACCACAACCAGGTGGTACTCTGGACTTTTGTTTGGACCTCAGAATTCAGCAGCTTTGATAAGTTTCTGTTTGCAAAGCCAGTTTCTAAGACCTGCAGCCGGAGTTCTATCAGATCAGGATATGTGCAAGACGTCGGATTTGCATTTATCGCTCTAGTTTTGTAAGAAAAATAGACTTTAAACTAACTCAATGGGCGTGTATCCCTTTAGTCATGTGCAAAAAAAATTAAAAATTAAGGTGAGATCGTCATACGCTTAAAAAACAAACAAAAATTAAGTAATTAGACAGTTTTTTCGAACATTACTAAAGGGATAAACTAAAGGGATAAATGGGTATTGACTATGGGTATGTTAGTCTGACCGGGTATACTCATATGACAATACTGGTTTAAATTCGCCTTGTTTAGTACCTGGGTTAGTGGGCTGTCATGGACAGAAACAGGTTAAGCCTGGTTCATATGATTCTGCTGTTTTTTGTCCCAATCTTCCCCCTCCAAGAGGCCCAGATTATTGTAATAGATTGAAAGATAACTTAACAAAATGTTCCTACCATGTACGGTGTGGAGTCTGTACTGCTCCGACTGCAAACTGAGGAAATCCAACATGTTGGATTGTCTTGGCCTGTTTTTCTAGTATTTGCGGTGTTCCCAGAGTGCAGATGGGGACGGATCCTGTTTTAATGTGATGTGTAGCCAATCAGAAAGCATTTCTGGAGGAAAATAACACAACAACTCACCAGTGAGCAAGTAGACCCCTGTTCTCTCTAATACTTTCACCAAGACCTTTCCTTATTTTTTTTCCTATTTCAAAATAAGTCGACAAACCATCTCTATTTCTTTTTCCTCCTTGGTCAGGGTTATTTACTCTCAAATCACGTTTGATTTTCAGAAGTTTTGTAAATTTTCATGTCTGACATTTAACACATTCTAGGACCAAACCTGTTATATCTGTAAATTTTAGATCATGTTGGGTGTCTTAGGTTTTGAAACTCAGTTTAAAATGTTTCCATGCAAACCAGGCTTTAAGCTACTAAACACTTCAGAATGTCTTTATTCTGTTGAGAACATTTCTGCAAACAGATCTGAACAAACACACATCCAATCCTTTAAACACACACCTACACACACGGACACACAAACCCACAGAGGGAAAAAAACGATCTGAACCAATCAGAGCTCAGAGTGAGAACAAGGCCGAGATCCAAACATCAGCGTGAACAGGGGGGACCATCTGGACCTTCTCACTGTGGCGTCACTGTGTGTGTTGTACAGTTTGTGTGTAAAGCTTTAGGTCTTTTTCATTTTGAGAAAGCTTTGATGTGTCCTGCAGGGATCAGATGTTGGCCCAGGCGGACTCCTCAATATGGGTGACTCCAGGTGTGGACAGTTCACTGGTGCTCTCAGAAACATGAAGGCCACCATGGGTGTGTCCATGTGTCGTCTCTCTGCCCCACTGATCCAATCTGTTTTCTTCTTCCTGCTGTCTTCTGATTGGATGGCAGAACTGGCTGTCAGCCATCCACAGCTCTGTGGTCAACAAAATGGAAAGATTTTACACAGACCTACTTGTCTCTGCTGATGGTTATCAGACCTAACACTGATCTGTTGCTATAGTCTCTGGACCCATATCTAATGCTCATTTTTCAGTTGAAACAATTCCTACCTAAGCTGAAGAACTGCTGTCTGTCTTTTTCTCTGGGATAAAATCATTTACTGTGATTCAGCCTAAACTTAAATGTTTTGATGAAACTATAACCAACTTTAGCTGCAAGCAGCATTAGACGGTCCTCAAGCCTTGGTGTTGCTTTCACCAGTGTGTGGTTCACGGACTTCGAACACTCTTAAAATCAGATTGTTCCACAAATCACAAGTGTGAAACGTCACTGCTTGTAACCTTGAAGGTGACATTTAGTCACCTTCAGTTAAGGTCTGTTATGATTCAGCAAGGAGTTGGGTCAAAATCAGACCTTGTTTCTGGGAGTTGCTCTAGCTTTCTCCTTCATAAAACAAAAATGTGAGGGCTGTAATCCCAATGAATACAGACATTTACCTTCAACAACAAGTGACCTCTTGTTGTTGGGTAAAGATAAAGGGATGAAAAGTACTGCTTAAAAATGTAGAGGAATGCACTATGATGACACAGGGTATGTTTAGATTTATGAATATGTGTCGTGGCATCTAGAACTTTAAAATATTTCAAATAGTGCTGTGAATAAACTGGCAAAAACTTTCTGTACCCCCAGAACAGGGATAAAGATCAGCCCTTTCAAATCTGAGGCATGGTTCACAACCAGAAAAAGGCAAAAAGGTAAATTATCTTGGGGTCCTGAAGTTAGAGGAGAAAGAAGGGGGAGAGGAACAGATGAATTGGTGGCTCCTGTCCCAATCTGGATTACGCACCGGACTGGTGGTGAAGCCAAAAGACAAAGCTCTTGGTTTACTGTTTGGTCCACGTTCCTGGCCTTGACTCTGGTCATGAAATCCGGTTCTTTACTGAAAGAACAACATCACAAAAACAAATGGTTGAAACTAGCTGTCTTCAAGTGTGGCTGGGTACTCCCTTAGAGATAGTGTGAGGAGCTTGGCCTTCCATGAGATTCTCTGAGTAGAACCTCTTCTCCTCCGCATGGAGAGGAGTCAGCTAAGGTGCTGCAGACATTTTAGAGGCCTTCCTCAGGAGGTGTTTAAGGTAGTTCTCACCGGAAGGAGGCCCAGGGACAACCCAGTATCTGCTGGAGGGTCTACATCTCTTAGCTGGCCCAGGAAAACCTCGGTCTTCCTCCCGGAGGAGCTGGAGGTGGAGTTAAGAGGGAAGTCTGGGTGTCTCTGCTGAGACTTCTTTTCCACCGGCCCGGTCCCGGATAGGCACAAGATGATTTCTCCTAGAATACAAACTGTCTGCTACTTTAGATCCCCTTGACTTGTGACCAAACTGACCAGGATTCAAGTTGATATTTTCAAACCTCTAGAAAGATTTTGCTCGAACCTGAGGACTTCAAATGACCAAAATGGTCTCACAATGGCCAGCTTATCATTTCTTGCAGGAACTGAGTGCAAGGGACGCTTTGTAGGTCAAGTTTTGCATTCTGCACGCATACTGCCATTCAGGCCCACACCTGCCAGAGTGGACGGCATCTTTCGGGTTTTTCATATGTGAGTTCACTCAGTCGAATGAAATTGTGGACAAGTCGACTTTTTGGTGAATGCACTACCACAAAGTTATAAGGCAATATTTTTGGATATATAAATATCTCTCTCTCTCTCTCTCTCTCTCTCTCTCTCTCTCTCTCTCTCTCTCTCTCTCTCTCTATATATATATATATATATATATATATATATATATATATATATATATATATATATATATATATATATATATATATATATATATATATATATATACAAGCCTCTAAAGAAAACTGAATCATTGAGATTAGAAAATGTAGCTGGAAGAAGTAAACACTGCATCTTCAATGGTCCTTGGCTCTACAATTATGGCTTTGGTCTATTACTGCATAATTTAATGAAGAAATCAGTTTCAGTTGCATTCTGTAAGTCAGTTTATTATCCAATCACCGTTAACGAGCTCTGACAGCCTATTAGGGACAGATCGTAATGATAAATCAGTTCAATTCAATTAGAGACCAAAGTTAAATTAAGAAAACTGTTTATTTATAACCTGTCAATCAAACCAGTGAATAAACAAGTATCAGCCTTTAAAAAAAAACATAATTAAATTAGAAATTCAACCAGCTGAGTCCCTGTTTCTGGACTGAAGTCAGCCATCTTCTGTGTCATGTAACCTTTGTCACATCATCTTATATTATTAGGAAACCAACAGCTATCAACTTCCCTTTCAGATATCTGCTCAGTTCTGAAGCTCCAGTTTGATCAATAGATTCCAAAGATTCAAGTTTGACACAAATTGATCCGGTTTGACATTAGATCTCAACTAAACTAAAAGATTCCAGTAAAGTTCAGATGTTTGTATCCTCATCATGTTGACATTAAAGGAACTTAAGCTGTTATTTTCACAGGAATCTGATCTCTCTAAAGATTTAATGGTTTTTATGTGTTTTCAGAGGAAAAGTAAAGTTCATTATCATGTGGCAGTGATCATCAACTACCTGGGTCACTGCATCTCTCTGGGAGCTCTGCTGCTCGCCTTCATGCTCTTTATGAGATTAAGGTAAAACACCGGTTCTGTCCACCTGTCTTGTTGCCCATCCTTCATCTCACCGATCCATCTGTCTACCTGTTTGTACAAGTATTGGTTCTTGGTATTAATAGATATTTTGGGGGATGCAGGACGTTCAATGACACAAGTATAAAACGTATGACTGCTTAAATCTAGTTTTCACCACCAGCCAATCATGGTGATGAAGGACTAGTCACTGGACACAACAACCTCCAAGTCAATAAGTAGTCAAGGTTCTTCTTTATAAGCCAAAGTATTCTAGAGTCATATGTCGATCCATATGTCTTAATATATCAAGCTTGGACCAAACTGGAGAGAAGACAGACTCAAGGTATTCATGCATATGTAAAGTATGCAACTACAAAATGAAGTACATAGAATTACCCCTTCCCAATGCCTTCTGATACACACGGACAAATAAACAGATACACAAAGGATTCTGCTTCCAGGCGGCTTACAGATTTGTGCGTACGTGGTGCGTTTAAATGCTGGTGGAAATCTGGGTCATTATTATTTCCTTTGGAATGTTTGTAGTTATGTCATTCCTTATCTATGCCAAAGTAGCAAGGAAGTCTTTTCTAGAAATAAAACATCAAGATCCCATAATTATAAGACATAGAGCTATATTTACTTTGTAATAGTCTGCACTTTTTATGTTGGCATGTATGCTATGCTAGTAGTTTATCAAATAGCCACACAACTGTAATAATATGGTTAAACAGACCACCCACGTGGTAATCAAGTGGCTAACGTTCTGGTCAACCCTTTAAAGCCCGATCCAAGAATAAAACAAAACAGAAAATTACTTTTTTTTGGTTTGAAGTCCTTATTTGGCCTTTTAACAAAATATGTAAAAAGAAAAAACAGAAATAAATTTTTGATATTAATAATTCATTACTTTGCGATAAGTCAAGATTATTTTTTGTGTGCTCTTCTACTGGCTGTTATCAGGTATATCTGATTGTGTACGATAGGATTTTGAGCAAAGTTTTTACAATTCCGTATGTATCAAATATGATACATTTGGCATTACAGGGTTAAACAGACTATGAACAATAGGGATATCCTGAACCAACATTGATATAGAAAATGTGTAAATCCCTTTATTGTCCCACAATGGGGAAATTCACTCTCTGCATTAAACCCCTCTGCTTGTGGAGCAGTGGGCTGTGGTGCCCGGGAGCAGCAAAATCAGTCCAATAAAAGCCAGAAAAACTACCAGAATATAAAGACGGACTGCATCTAAAAAAGCAGAAATTACCCTGCTGACAGAAACCCTCTGCTTCTGTTTAAAGTTTTTGTAGCTCATTTTTATTTTTTTATTTATCCTTTATTTAACCAGGTAATACCCATTGAGATTAAAAATCTCTTTTGCAGCTCATTAGATAATCATAGATATATCAGTTGTTTTTGCACCTTTTGCTGTTGACTGCTGCTCTTTCTTTAAGTAGTATCACTTTAACATGCTGATATATCGGGTTATATCAGTATCTGACAATACTCAAAGCTACATTCTGGTGAAGATTCTCAGTCATCCAGGTCATAGTCATTCCAAAAAAGTGTAAAAAAACAATCCACTGGGCTTTGTTTTCCAAGTTTGAAGATGTTTTTGCTTCCCATCAAGGAAGCTTTCTCAATTCAAAATGTCTGGATTAGTGTTTAGTTCCAGGCTTTATAGCGTAGCCCAACCAAGCCTTGTTATGGCTTAGAAAACATGCAAATTTAACAAAAAAATAAATAAATAGGTCCACTCCGTTGTAATACGGAGTCGTTGAGATCTTTCTCCACAGATGCATGGCTCAACACAGAAGAGCTACCTCCTCCGGACAAGACTCTCCTGTCCACCTACACCTTAAGGACAAGGGACATTTGTTTGGGGAACAGAATGTTTACATTCTGGACAAAGAAGACAGGTGGTTTGTAAGGAGTGTGAAGGAAACCATTTATGCTAAGAGAGAAACATCAACTTTAAACAAAGTGGGTGGTCTCAGGTTCCAGCTCTCAAAAACCCACAACGCAGCAATAGAGTTGATTCCTTCCCACTATCATCTCAACCCCCATCGCTATGCAGGGGACCAAAACATCTCGCATGGTCAGCCAGGCCAACAATGACCCTAACGACTCCCCTTTCAGGCTCCGTCCACACGAAGTCAAACCCTGGCCTAAACGCACAATTTTTTCACCAAACCAGCCTCTCATCCATACGAAGCCGGCGTTTCGGGGGTCTGTAAACGATCTTTTTTTTTATTAAGCCTTCAGAGTGGGAAGATTTTGAAACGCCGTTTTCGCGTTTCCATCTTTACGCTCTAACCGCATTTTTTTTCTTACACGCATGCGTCATAGCGTCGCCTCTAAACACGCATGCGCGCCACAGTATCACAACAACAATGGCGCCGTACTGTGTTGAATGGTTGCTGCTAATGCTACTCACCCTGCTGTCGGGCTTACAACAGAATCTTCTTCTTCTGGAATATCTCCAGGAAGAACAGAGCAATATCGACCACATAGTTCAGCACCTGAATTTGACTGAACCACGAAAATGGACCCGCAGGGCAACCATGTATAAATATTAGTGCGCATGCCCAACATTTCATCGCCTGTTTTTGCTTTGGCACCACAGCGCCACTTACAGGCCTGGCATACATTTTGCAGCGTTTTCATGCATTCGTGTGGACGATCACATTTATTTTACGTCTCCGTCTTTACGACAAACGTTCTGGAAAATATTAGCGTTTCGTGTTCGTTTTGACTTCGTGTGGGCGGGGCCTCAGAGGCATAGGCCAGTATCGGGTATTGCAAGCCAACAACGACCTCAACGACTCCCTATTACTAAGGGTTGGACCTATTTTTTCAGTTCAATTTGCATGTTTTCTAAGCCATAACAAGGCTTTGTTTGGCTACTCTATAAAGCTTGGAACTCGATGCTAATCCAGACATTTTGGATTGTGAAAGCTTCCTTAATGGGAAGCGAAAAATCTTCAAACTTGTAAAATAAAGTCCTGTATTTTTTTTATTTATTTTTTTTTACGTCGCGGCTCTAATATCGTTATGGAATGGAACATTTAAAAAATGCATTTTAATACACTCACTAAGAAGGAATACAGCATTGGTAAGAGTACCCTGATGCTCTACCCTCACAACTAAGTAAAACACGCAATTTGCCCTCCAGCTACAGCAAACAAGCATTTTCTATTAACTTTTTCTGTTGGGTGGATTGTTACACCATCCTCCTCAGATTTTTCTGTTAGCAGGCGCTAACATCTGTGTAAGCTGAGCTTTAGCACATGGAAATGCTAAAGTAGTTAATGGATTAAATGCAATCCTCAGAAGCTACTACAAATGCTGGCTGGCAGTGCAGGCTGGAAATGGCAACCTGATTTCTAAAGTAAGTGATTGCTGTCAGCATATTTAGATGATCCGTTTAGATGAAAACATTGCATATTATGTATGTAAACTTAGCTCCTGTAGTCATTTCAGAGGGATGTGAACAAAACACCTTTGCTTTACTGTGTCCCTCTTCTAATGCTGCTGCTTTTTGCTGCCTCAAAATAAAAAAAAAACTGGCACCCACTCTGCATTTATGTTTGAAATATTTAATAGCTTATTAGTAATTCATCTATAAAATGGGACTTTTTACACAAACCATAATATTTCTAGTTCTCTCTCTTTATGCTCAGGGCAGAATATATTTTGTTATTTTAACTCATCTGAATCCAGGATAGATTTATTCCTATTGAGACAGCATCACAGTAAAGGAGAAAAAGTTAAATGGCAATAATCATAAACACTGTAAACAACTGTAATGTTCACGCTTTAATCTATTTTAAATTGTTCATCTTTGACAGCAACACTATATTGTTTTGATGAACAAATCTGTTTTATTCTTCTTCCGTTGCAAATCTATTCAACCCTAGGTTTTGCAGTCTCAGCGGCTGATGGTGTTTCCATTCCATCTCTGGGTGGGAGTCTGTTCTCTGCACCTACATGACTGGGGTGGATTAATTCTTCTAATAATCCTGCTTATCTGGATGGTTACTGTGACTTTTAAAATATCTCTACAGTGCAAAATGTTTCAGTATTATTGTCCTAGCTGATGCTTCATTAACTGTGATGATGGCAGCTTCAAAATCAGCAGCATATGGGGAATTAAGGGTTGAGAAAGATCAAACTGGCTTCTCTCTGATCGATCAGGATTAAAGATGCACCCATATTGATATCCAAACTGGTCCCAATATTGGAGGAATTTCAAGATTGGTTATCAGCAGAGGTGGAAAGAGTACTAAAAGATTGTAATTGAGTAAAAGTATCTTTACTTTGCATAAATTTTACTCAGAGTAAAAGTAAAATTACCCATCTCAAAATTTACTCAAGTAAAAGTACAAAATTACTTCATTTAAAAGGTAATTTGAGTAAAAGGTACTTAGTTACTTTGAGTTATTTAATGCAAAAAAGGATGAGTCATGAATCGAATTGAGCACAAGGCGTTTCAATCGATTTCAAGGTGTATTTCAGTGGAAATCCACACTTGCAAAAGATCAGCTGGGCTAAAGAACATACTTCCTCACAGCACAAGGACAGTCACAACCTGAACCCTAAAGTGCAAACAATTTTCAATCCTACTGTCCAACAGACAACACCATGATAGGAATAAAGATATTTAAACTACATTTTAAAGTTTTCAAAGTGCACACAAAATTAAATGCCCAAAAGATACCAGAAATCAAACTAAAACGGAACAGGATCCCACTGTTATTAACAAGCTCCTCATTTAATGATTTTAACTGACACTTGTTTTTACATCAATTGCTTATATGTTTGAATTGTGTAAATAAAGTGCAGTTAAAAGTCAAAAGTCTTCTTCTATTTTTTAATGGCGATTAAGTGTCGGTTCCGTGACACAGGGGTTTAAATTTCCGGCCGCATTTCATCTTTTCACCATCAGTATTCTTTTTTTTTTTTACTCAGTAACGTGAGGGGGGTTTAAATGTAGC